GGACCTCTGAAAGAAGTCACCAACCATCTGGCTGACCCAGACCGTCGCGCTAATCTGTTCGATTCAACAGTTCTTCGTGCGCTCTGTTACGGGTCGGAGACTTGGGTGACCAGTGCAGTCACGTCAAGGGCTCTGAACACAAGTCAAAGAGCGCTCGAGCGATGTCTTTTGAGGTACAACCGACTCACGCAATATCGAGCCGGACTCCGCAGCTCCGATATGCGCAGAATGTCTCGACTCCGCGATCCGGTGGAATACATTAAGAACGCGAAATTTCGGTGGGCCGGTCATATGAGAGAAGAGATAATGACAGATGGACAAGAGGAACAGTCAAGTTGGCTCCCATAGAATCTTCACGATCTAAGGGTAGACCGGCTGCGAGATGGGGGTCACGCTGCATGTGCTTGTCGATCACGTGAAACAGCTGCGGCACCAGCTGAACGACTCCTCACATCGTCATCTTCGTCGAATCCTGAGTCTACCGTGGATGGCGATCGCGAAAGACAGAAGCGAATGGCTTGTTGCTGGTGCTCGCACATGAGTGAAGACGAGCCGTATAAGGTATAAGGTAAGGTATCTACGCCAAGCACTGCTTCCTATTTGCTACGCAGTCGGATTCCCCAAGAGAAGAAGTTTCTGTGTTTGAAGGCGATCCATGCTTGACATCGGCCATCAAGACATCCATTTCGTCGTAAGTTCTGTTCGCTTGCCAATTCTTCTACAAACGATTCACGGATAGTTTCTGTCACTGAATACGGCGGATTCATCAGCTAATCCCATTCCTTATTTGGCTTTGGCTGTTTGTCCATCGCCGGGAAGTTGTTGAGATCGCGAAATGACTCTGCCACCTTCCAACCTTTCTCGAAGTAGTAGTGCATAATGCGGCGAATATGAAGATGACTTTCTAGACACATTTCTGTTAAGGAAAGCGAGAAGATTAAATCTATTGAATCCCCAATTCAGTATTCAAATTGTATTGATAGAAAAGAAGCCGTGAAAAAAACCGCAATAATTATGCTTCAACCTAATATTTCCCAGTCCCGTACAAAAAGCATTGTGCTATATTCAGTCTTACAGCGCAGGCAGGAAAGTGCCAAAGCGACTGCAAGAATTTCAAGGCCAGGGCGTAGAAAAAGCGCTAGAATTAGAGTATTGCTGCATACACACGCCGGGGAATGAAGTGGGAAAGAGCAAACCGTTCGCATTCGCTTCACAATCGCACCTCAACCTAATTGTAAACAGCTGTGACATGAGCAGTGGTGACTTGGAAAAGAATTACTGGTTCCGGACTCTCCAGATTGAAATTACAAAACGTGATTTTGACAAGTGCTAATCGGGATCGACAAATTCCAGTGAAAAACGACTCAAGAATACGGCAAGGCAGGGGTAGCGGAAGGGAGGGTGTTAACATACAATAAGTACAATTTTCCCACGAATCTCATGCTTGCTCCTAGCAGCACTACCGAAAAAAACATACCTTCGCCTCTAACAGAGCCGCTAGCGTCCTTATATTCGAAGGACATTGCAGGAAAAAGATCAGTGATAGGAATCTCTGGCTGGATTATAGCTTCAGAACGCGTCTGCTTGAGATGTTTTATTGCAATGCGATAATATCCGAATGCCACTTGGTCACACCAACCAGAATACTGAAATAACTTATTTTATGAGCAAGTTTTATGCGCAAACTTAAACAAAATCCTGAGATTACGCACTGTGCTGCTGTTCCTGTAAGATATGTCCCTGGTAGCGGGATCAATCCTTGGCGGGTACTTTTGAATCATGTTTTGGTTGTCCACCCTCCATAATGCACAGTCGTCACGAAACAAGTCTGCTTTGCAAACCACAAATGTGCCTTTCTAAATAATAACAATACTGCACAGAAAAAAGGTAGGAATAAAACGTTGTGAGAGCTAGAGTAGCGGAAAATACCAACTGGTAAATGTCCATCAGCTTGAGAAAACTTCGACAACCGTGCCTTCACAGTTTCTGTGTTGAAGTCGCTCGCCGATTGAACGAAACAGGAAGGAACATTTATTTTACGTTCACCTGATGAATACAACGGCTTTTTTCCATAAACACTGCCAAAAATTATGCATACGATGTTGAAATGCGTGAAATGAAATGAAATGAAATGTTGAAATAGAAAACCACGCTTCATCTCTGGGTTAGCTATCCTGACAGGGAACTAGCTCATATTTACAAAAATTGGCTTGTAGGTCGTGACTTCAGTTTTCGAAATTGACAGATTATGGATATGAACGTCTACTGCTTCGGAAAGCCACAACGACTTCATAGTTACACGAAGTATTTGATCTAAATCGATTCAAATCCGTTTACATCGTGAACAAAAACGAGTTCCTTTGCATACACAAGCCAAACGCCATCCCGTCTAACAAGGGAAGGATCCCAAGTCGAAGTGGTCATTTGAAATGAGAACTATATTGCTGAACGTATTTTTTGATGCTGATTTCAAATCTGCATTCGAAATCTGCCAAACGATTCTCTGAACGATGTTATGGAGGTGGTTCCCGGAGCGCGCTCAACAGGCGAAAAGCACATAAGCCATGGTCGCCGCCAGCCTAGCAGTGGCGGCTTGGAGTGGAGGTAAGCGTGACGCTTCACAGGCACGGGACCAAGGATCGGGTTTGATGGGCGGTGGCGTATTTGCATTTTGCAAGAC